CAGAATTCCCCACCCAGCTGGGGAAGTCCACACATCTTCAAGGACCAAGGTTGAGAAACACAGCTCTGGACAATAGCCTTCCCAATGTTACAAAACGCTGTTGAACTTCCTGTATGTCTTCTGCCCAGTACAACATAGAGCAAGATCTCTATGTTTAGATCATGCCAAAAAACCTGAAATGCAGCATTTTGTGCCAAATTCAAACTTCAAGGATTTTTTTGGCTTCATTGTATGACAGATGATACACAATTAAAAAAAATACATATATAAATTATGGTTAAAAAGTTATGCTTGAAGTTTCAAAACCCAGGAAAGTTACAAGAAAATATATTTTCCAATTTCAAAGAAATTACCTTCAATGCTCCTGCAGGTATAATAAATAATAAAACAAATGTAGATTAATACATCTGAACTCAATGAAACTGAACAAGACAAACTTCAGAGTAGTCAAACATAGAATTTCACTACATTTGGGTCATCTCTCTACTATTTATTTATTTATTTATTTACTTACTTATTAGAATTGTATTCTGACTTTTGTAACAGGAGCTCAAAATGGCATACATAGTGACTTTGGGCCAGCTACCATCTCTCAGCACATATATATTTTTCCCCACAACTATCCATGTGAGGTTAGTCAGGCTGAGGGAGAGTGGGTAGCCCAAAGTGATTGAATGAGCCTCCATGGACTAGAACCTGGTTCTCCCCACTCCTAGTCTAATACCTTTATTTATTACTTATTATACCTTTATTTATTTATTATTTAATTATTCACATAAAACAACAACATTGGCTTGCGCAAGCCAGTCCTATTGTATGAGGATCAGATAAAGCCTCTATTTTTCCTCTCAAAATTGTAATGAAGCAACATACCAGTGTTTGCACCATATGAGGTCTTTGCAGCCGTAAACTCTTCACAGCTTGAAATACATCTAAGAGCCCCTCAGCTTTGACTCGCTCCAAAATATTGCTGAGTGCTATGAATGTACCTGTTCTTCCAGCTCCAGCACTACAGGACAAAGACAAACAAGTTGACCTACCAAAACCATATATAGAAAAATAAAATATACATGCTGAATTGAGTCTCTGTTAATAGAATTGAGTTTAGCAGCCTCTATAGTTCTTTGCCTCTTCAGGAGTAGCAGATGGAGTGTGCATTTTGCAGATTTGCTTAATTTAATTCATACAGATAGTATACAGGTTTATTAGCTATAGAACTTTCTTCATGTTACTGCAAAAATAAGCTTTTTAAAAATTTAAACTTTAAAATTGTTCAGGTAGTGAATGTTGATTTTGCAGTTACTTCCTTATAAATAAAGTTTCATCTGGAATAATTTTATCCATCCACCAAGATCCAGAGGATGTCTCCACTGGAGAAGAAGGAATGGATATTTATTTCAATAGTGTTCATCAACTTTGTAGAACAACATGGGAGTAGGCATTGGAATCTTTCAGAAAAGTTTGAAAAAAATACCAACTTTCATAAACTTTTTCAATTAAGTCTGAATTTAGCCTATGTAAACTGCTGTGATGGAATCTCTAGTAGACCCTGGGAAGATGGAGAAGGGAAGAGGACTCTCACAAACAGAATTCCTTCATTCAGAGAAAGTGTAAGCATGAGAAAGAGGCTCAGAATAACTCCACCTTATTTACATTAGGTATAACTGGATCTGGAGAATTGCTTTGGCAGGCTTTCAAGATTCTGTTACGTTGCTCTATTAACAATAAAGATCTTTCCAGTTCTCTATTTTAATATTGATAATTTATGAGCCTAAAGCAAGGTGTGAATTATAATTATAGTGAACAAGACTAAATGAAATACATCTTCAGGAACCTGAACAATTTATCCAGCAGAAGTAAAGGGAGTTTACAGGTTAATTAACAAGGTCACTTTTCATATTCATCTGGAGTTCCAGGTGCTCCCTACAGCTAAATCAGAGTGGCAATGGCAGGGCCTCATACCCCACAGAATCTATTATGAAATCATACGTTATGGACAACTATATAATTGGTGGTGTGCTACACCACACCATGTGTATTTCATGGCAGCTCTTTTTCCACAGTCCATTTCTCTCTTTCATTTCTGACCAGCAATAACAGCTTGTGGGCTCAGCTATGTAACCAGATGACTCTACTGTAATATGTTATGTGAGACTACCTCTGGGAAAATTTGGAAATCATAGGTAGTTTACAAAGTAGCAACCTGATTATTACTTCAGATCAGAAGTTCCATTACATTGTACTTTTCATTTCAGAAGTACACTGGCTCCCTTGTCAGTTTTTAGGCCCAATCCACTGGTGGTTCTTTATCTCAGTAGGCTTTTATGGCCTGGGACCAGGTTATCTAAAGCATCATCTGTTCCTATACGCACTTGCCATTATATTCATCCTCATCACTGGCCACTTCACCTGCTTCCTTCCCTGCAGCTGTCAATACAGCAAGGGGCAGCTGGGAGAAAGGCTGATTGTGGAATGTTCTTCCACTGAGACTGTACCTACTGCCTCTACTTCAGAGTGAAAGTCCTTGCCAGCTTTTCAGATCTAAAGTTTCAAAAGAGCACGAGGAAAAAAAAATAATGTAAAAATGTTTTTACCTGCAGTGTACTGTAATGGGATGGTTTCCTGTCTGCTGTTGCTGTTTCTGAACAGCTGCGATGAGGTCAATCATACCTTTTCCTTCAGCAGGAATGCCTATCTCAGGCCATCCATGGAAATGAAACTGTCGAATAAGTCTGCCTTGCTTCTCCTAGTTATTCAGAAACAAGAAAGCCACAAGTTTAAAGTGAATTTAGTAATGGAAGGAAATACTTTTAAATATTAAAGCCTCACCCACTTTTCTGGGAGTAATTCCATTAGACTTAGCAACACTTACTTCTGAACAGACACATATAAGCTTGCAGATTCTATTACATATTGTAACATTCCTATGAGCAGTGTCATAAATAAGTTATGTAATTTATTTCAATTTATATCCCTTTTTACCTTAACTGCCCAATGTAGTACTAGGAAATAGATTAAAAAATACCATATATATACAAATAATTTCACCTATTTCTATAAGAGGTAATACTACACACATCCACACAGTTTCCCTTCCTAACATTCCCCAGTAATCTTGGCTGAAATAAATTGCTGGAAAAGATGAAGGGAAGTTCTTCATTAATTTAAGGAAGCATTTCTCAAGAATTCTTGA